GACAAAGGTACAAAATCATAAAGAAACAAAATTAAAGGAATTTCATAAAATTAAAACATATTAAAGATACACAAAATTGGCCAGATCACTGTGACTTCAAAACCCACCTACTTTATAAAGATACACAGAGAAGCCCGTCTTGAAAACAAAAATCCTTAGTCACATGCCTAGGGTTTTTTTTAATGCATATGGAATCACTCAGACAATATACAATTAAAAATATGTCTTAAATTTTTAGCGGCTAGAGAGGTTAAGGGGGGAGTGTTTGTTTTTCCAAAGGTCCCGAGTTCAGATCTCAGTAACTACATGGTGGCTCACACAATTTGTAATGATGTCTGGTTCCCCTCATCTGGCTTGCAGGTGTGCATCCAATCAGAACACTGTATACATAATAAATAAATAAATCTTAAAGAAATAAGATATTTGACAAGAGTGGACATGCCCAGGGACATACAGCTATAGACAATTACTATAGACAACAGTTCAGTTACTAGTACCATAATAAATCAGCATTTTTTTTCAGTCAAAATTGTTCATGTGCTGTCATTCAAACTAGCCCCTGATAATAAGTGCTCATTTCCACTTTCCTATGAGAACAAGTCTCAAACAAAATGAAGACTGGAAAGAGTAATGACTTTTCCATTATTTCAACTGCTATACTACTGAATCACCCACAAAATTGGGGGGAGATAGCTCAGTCAGTTAGGTACTGGCTAAACAAACATGAGGACCAAAGTTTGGGTCATGAGCACCCATATAAGACCTGTCTGAGTGCTGGAAAGGGAAAAAACAAGATCCCTAGGGCTCACTGTGCAGCAATGAGAGCTTTCTCAATGAATAAGGGGGAAAGCTATTGAAGGAAAGCCCGAATATCTACTTTTGTCCTCTATATACATATGAATACAGACACACACAAAATGGATTCTCATTTATAAGTGATTGTGAATTCTGTATGAACTAGCATACCATTAATTTTACACATCTCACTTTTCTTTCATTATGATTATTACAACTCTACACAGCTCTAATATTGAAATGAGATCCTCAACTCTGACCTGCTCTAAGGTATCATTCCCCAAAACATGTGAACCAGTCGAATACAAGAAAAAATGCACTATACTTCAAAAGGGCAAGTTTCAAAATCATAACAAGGAAAAGTTTAGTAACTATATGCAATCGGATTTTATTATTCTAAAATGCAAGCTAAATAAACATATCGACCAAAAGAAAAGTTTGTGTCAATACAATAATAGCAAAGTGAACATGTACAGGAAATCATGCATAGGTGACTTCTGCAGAAATTGTAAATCTATACCAGAAAAAAAATGCCCATCCATGCTGTCTGCCAAATCTAACAAGTCACTTTTCAAGAAATCAATGATCAATATAAGCTGTAATATAATTGAATCATACTAATGCAAAGAAGTCTTACAAAACAACATAAATTATTTTACCATTATACACTCAAGCTCTTTTATTCTAGTGTCTTACTTTATCTCATTTTAAAACTTTTAAAACTAAGTGTTTGGGAGACGTGGAAGGCAGGTGCTCTGAGGGAAGGGGACTGGGGAAAAAGTATAGCTCAATTAAAAAATTATGTGTGTGTGTGTGTGTGTGTGTGTGTTCACCTGAGCCTGCATGCCCAGGTGGGCAAAGGTCAGAGGACAACTAGCAGGGGTCTGTTCTCTCTTTCCAGTGGAGACTGATTTCAGACCGTAAGGCTCAGAAGAAGGGGCTTTTATGCACTGAACCCACACACTATAATAGGGCACTGTACAGGCCAGGTGCAGTAATTTTAAGCCTATATAAAGCAGACGAGTTAGAAGCTGAGGTAGAAATGTGAAGACTTCAAGAAGCCTCGGGTTACATAGAAACATGCATTTAGAGGGAAGAATACTATAAATTATTACCAAAAAGGACAGAAACTATGGGAGATGAGAGATGGTTAGAGAAAAATGCTCCCATATGGTAAAAATTAATTATTGAAAAATTTTATGACGCATTAAGGAAAGAAAGTTGGGGCTGGAGACATGGCTCATCAGTTAAGAGCAATGAATGCTCTTCCAGAGAACATTGGCTCAATTCCGATCACCCACAGGGCAGCTCAAAACTGTAACTCCAGGGGGATCTGACACTCTCACACAGACATATATGTGATCAAAATCCGAATAAAGTAAATAAATAAAAAAACATTAAATAATTTTTAAAAACACCGTGGAAAAAGAAAAGGTAGATTTGGAGGAATGCTCTACACACACAAGAGTTTCCAGTATTACATGGTGGGGTGAGGGGATTAAGACTGGCCAAGAGAAGGAGTAAACAATGGTACAACTTGTGAACTAATTGCTTGCTACACTGGTACTTCCTACTAAGATACATGTATATGAGGAGCTCGATACACATGTGGAATGAATAGGAAACAAGGAGCCGGTCGCCACAAGTCAGTGCACGTTATTCTCTAAGTCATTGTTCACTTCTACATCCAGATTACCATCATCAGTTACATCTTCCCCAAGCACAGGATTCCAGTCTTTCATCCTTAGCAGACTCTCCATCAGAGACTGGATATTGAGTAAAAAGAGAAAACAAAAGAGAAGGTAATGACTCATGATAATACCTTTACAATTTAGAACTTAACTCATCTGAAATTCAATCCTGAGCCAATGAGATGGATTGGCAGGTAAAAGCATCTGCCACTTAGACTGATAATCTGAGTTCAATCCCCAGAACCCACATGGTAGAAAATTTGCCTCCCAAAATTTGTCTTCTGAACTCCATACCCACATCATGGAATGCACATACCTGACACATACATACACAAGTAACTTTTTAAATATTATACTTTTTTAAATCAATCCCCATAAATAAATCCTTTTGTGCCCTAAGTATCTGTCTGCAATTGAGATATGTAAATATTTGGTTTAATTTTCTAACTCCACATTTAGGGACTAGTAATCCTGAAAAAATAACTTGCTGAACATGGTACATCTTTTACCCCACCACTCAGAAGGAATAGGCAGGCAGATCTATGTGAGATGGGAGCCAGCCTGATATAATAAAGTGAGTTCTGGCAATAAAAAAATACCTCTTGAAACTCTGTATGCAAAAAAAAATATTATGAATATTATGGAAGGGAGGGATGGAGGAAGGGGGAGGTAGTGAGGGAAGGAAGGACAGAAGGATGAAGAGAATAAGGAAAAGAAAGAAGAGAAAACAAAATCAAATACAGTGTTGTATAATGGTTCATTCTTGTTAACTACAAAGCAACAAAATATTTTCTTTTGTGTGTATCATACACACATGAGTATGCAGATGCACATAACAAGTTTCTCCAATTATTTGTTCAGTCTAAACACAAAATGAAGGTTAGAGAGAATGGCTCAGAGCATTTGTTAGTCTTGTAGAGGATCAAGATTCAATGCCATCATCGACATTATAGCTCACAGTCATCAGTTATTCCAGCTCCAGGGCATCCAACAATGGCCCACTAATCACTTCTTAGATCAGGAACATGTAACACACACACATACATACAAGCAAAACAGTCATATACATAAAAGGAAATAAACTTAAAAAAAAAAAAAACCAAAAACCTAGAATGACCATTCAGTTACTATAAGTGGTTACTTACTGATCGGTATACTCTCCAAAGAAATAAGAAAATGGTAAGCAGTACAATGGCAACCACACATATCAGCGATTCTAATGATGGCTCACTAGGATCAAAGCTTGTTGTCATATCTTCAGGCACTGCTGCCACAACCTTCGAGACAAAGAAAATAAACCTATAAGCATGCTTCTTCAACAGTACTGGTACAAAGACAGGCACAGGTGGCTGTGGCCAACTCTATTCATATTGAATGGGCTACCATAAAATACAAAGCAGAATGCCTACAAACATGTTTTCTAGTAAATTACAATTGTTCTTATTGAGGGGCTAAGTGTGGTGAAACAGTAGTTTTCAAACAGCAGTTATGGGGAGATTCCACAGAGCATAACTCCAGGAGAGTTAAAGGATAAGGATATAGTATCGAGAAAAAGAATATTGTGGAATATTTTATATGTGTTTCATTCCTTTTATGTGCATTTGTTTAACTCTGTAAAGCTATATTACTTGCCTGTCTAAAACACCTGATTGGCCTATTGAAGAGCTGAACAGACCAACAGCTAGGCAGGAAAAACTAGGCAGGGCTGGCTGGCATGCAGAGAGAATAAATAGGAGGAGAGACCTAGAGAAGATCCAGGGACAAGGGGAGGAGGACACCAAGGACACCAGTCACAGAGTAAGAAGGAAAGCAAGGCATATAGAATAAATAAAGGGAAAAGAGCTCAGGAGGCAACACATAAAGAGAAATGGGATAATTTAATTTAAAAAGCTGGCTAGAAAAAAGCTTAGCTAAGGCCAGCCATCCCAAGTAAGAATAAATCTCCATGTATTTATTTAGGAGATGGGTGAGGGACACCATCCCTACCAAAGATTTTTTAAAATCCAGTAAAAAAGAAAAGTATCAATGATCTGGGGTGTGTTCTTTTCCCGAGTTCAACTTCATGATTGATCCCTATGCACTGGGTTTGAAATAACATTTCCTGCAGAGGAAAAACACTGACCTGCAGCTTGTCCTCTGGAGGAAGGGAGAGTGGACAAGAAACAACTGACAGAGCTTCAGAGTTGGGATTTAAACCCTTCCTTCCTGTCTCTTTAATTAAATTAATGCACTTTGAGCCCCAAAAGAAAATGGCTCTTCAAAACAACCATCGAAATTATGGATTTGACTCTTTCCAGGCATCAACATACACCATCTAGAAACTCCACAGCTGTCTTTTCCTGGGGTCTGACAAAATGAACAACAAATCCTTAGATAATTACTTATAAAACCTGTTTTGTGCGGGTACATGACAAGGACCTTTTACAAGCTGCTATCTATAGCTTATTAACTTACCAAAAAATACATGCAATAGTATATTCTTTTTAATTCCTGTATCTTTATTTTCCTTTTTACATCTGTGACTCCAGAAAGGATCCAAAGTGTAGGTGCACAGCCTCTTGTCTGGGGTTTCATGGAGAGTCCTTTTTTAACCTTGTGTTTTAGATCCTTAAGGTACAGGACTGACCTTACAAGGGCTCAGAAAAGGGCTAAAAAATATTTTATCCTGGTCCTGTCTCTCTTTCTCACCTGAGCCACATACACAAAAGTGTGATATCATGTTGCAAGGCAATGATAACAACGATTTGCCTCTAGGATCACAAGAACAGATATTCAGGCATGGCAAATATTTCCATATCTCCCTCCAAAGACTATGAATGTATAACCAAGCCCTCCACATACCCTCTAAAATATTCTTCCACACCACAGAGTACTGCCTGCAGTTAATTGCCTATATTACCTCTTCCTGAATCCATCTTCCCTCAGTGGGTTATTCTAGTCTTTATCACCAGGCCCCAATACTAACTGATCATAAACAAGTAGATTGACTCCCTGATAGCAGATAAAAAAGTTTAAGACTAAAACTGTTACTAGAAACCAAGATGGGATGGAAAAGGCTAGCTCTGTCTTTTAAGATGTAGGATTTTATGCAAGAGAACCGCAAAATGAAGTAAATCTGTTGAAGTAAGGATAAAACAAACCGTTCATCAACAGTAGTTAGTTATTTTTAGATCTCACTTTAGTGAGTCAGCATGAAAAGAGAACAAGGTAAAATCACTACAAATAAGTTAGACTATCATACTAGCAAAATATATGCAATAGTAGCAGAAAATACATTCACTCTCAAATGTACATGGAAGATTCTTCAGAAAAAAAATCCAGGCACTAAGCTAAAACACACCTCAATGTTTTCTTTGTTTGTTTTTTGTTTTCTATCCTTTAAATAATCAAATCACAGGGCCAAGCCCAAAGAAATGGCTCAGCAGCTGAAAACATTTGCTGCTCTTGCAGAGGAGCAGACTTCAGTTCCCAGAATCCATGTCAAGAAGTCCCTAAGTGCCTGCCCATGAGTCCAGCTCTGTGAGATCTGATGCCCTCTTACTGCTTCCTTCGGCAGCTGAAGCTACAAGCACATACACACACATACAAATAGTTTAAAACAGTAAAAATACAATTAAAAAAAAATTCCCATGTTGAGAAGCATCTTCTGATTACAACGGGTTAAAATTAGTTATCAAAAAAAAAAAAAAAAAAAAAAAAACAGGAAGGGCTGGAGAGAGATCTCAGCAGTTAAGAGCATTTGTCATTCTTGTAGATAAATGACCCATGTTTGGTTCCCAGGATCCACTTGGTGGCTCACCACTATCTATGACTCCATTTCCAGGGAAATATGTCACCCTTTAAGTCATCTTTAAGCACAGCAAACATGTGAAGCATGGACATAAAATGCAAGAGCAAAACATCCATGAACATAAAAGGTTTTTTAAAATAATAAAATGCAACACAAAACTTACACAAAACAACTAATTCAGTGTGTAACAGGAAAATTTATAGTCATAAAAGACTTTGTAAAAAAATATGTGAGGGCAAGGGCTGGAGAGATCTCACAATGGTTAAAAACATTAGCTAGTTGTCAAGAGGTCCTGAGTTCAGTTCCTAGCATCCACATGGTAGCGCACAACCATCTGCAATGAGGTGCCCTCTTCTGACCTGCAGGGATATAAGGAGAAAGAACACACTATATATAATAAAACATCTAAATAAAAAATTTAATATTATTGGGCCTGGAAGATAGCTCAGCAGGTGAAAAACTTTGCCACCAATCCTTAGGGCCTGTGTTTGACCCCCATCACCAATGTGGTAGAAGGATAAAACCGACTCTTGGGGCTTTGGATTTACACACACACACACACACACACACACACACACACACACACACACCCACCATATATACACAGAAAGCAATGTAATGTTCAGTTAAATAAACCAATGTCATAATCCACAGTAAAAGAAAAGAAGAAAAAAGAAGATCTCAACAGATAGTAATAAAAATATATAAGAAAATCAACCTTCTAATAATCAGGAGACTGCAAACTAGACTACTTTTCTCAATCTGAAAAACTGCACCAATAGAAAACTCACAGCTAACACCATCCTGAAGGGGAGAGAACTGTTCCCTTACAAAATGCATTACACATCCACACAGCCCACTGAACCACAGAAAATCCAGCCAAGTCTGCAAAATCCCTCCATGTTGCTCACCCACAACCTTATCAAAAATAAGTGTTGGTAACTGCTAGGTGCCTGTGTATTTTATGTGAAAAGCCAGAGGCTGCTGTGGTAATGTCTTCCTTTTCTACCTCAATTTTTCTAAGGCAGAGTCTCTCACTCAATCTAGAGCTCACACATTCTCTGATAGACTGATTACCAGTGAACCTGGGATTCCTCTATTCACACCCCACCCAGCATTTACATTGCCTTAAGGGCTCCAACTCTAGATCATAGCAAGCACTTTCCCTCCTCGAACTGAGCCATCTCCCTAGGCCCCAATCGGGATTCTGAGGGAGTGTGTGTGATCTGAAATCATCTCTCATCTACAATATGCTTCTCTTCCCACAAGCCCCATCTCAGTAACTTAACTGACACAGCCAGGAACTTGGGATTATTCTAGATTCTCCACACACCCCACCCCTCTCTACAGCTAATCAAGAAAGTCACACTCATTTTAGCTCTTATTTCTTCTGCCCCATTTAGGACCAACTTCTTATCCTTACCCCTATCAATTCTCCTTCCTGTGTTTTTTTCCCTGACATTTGATTCTCATACTATCAGGAATATCTAACATCTTTTTCTATGGGTCTCACCACTGATGAGCCTGTGCTGGATCTCACACCCCCACAGCAATCCTTGAGACCCACTGGTCTACAGTAAGCATCATTTCACATCAGGCCCTTGGCTCACTTATGCTGTGAGCACCTGTGCATGCTGTTTTCACACCTCATCTACTGAAACTTATTTGCTCAGTCTAAAGACTTTCCCAGCAACCCAAGGAAAAATGATCACTCCCTTCCCTTGTTTTGCATGTACTTCTATAGGCAAAAGACGTTAACTGTGGATTAATTTTGTGTATTTTCTCCCCAAACAGCCAACATGATGAAAATGACCAAATTCCTTATTTCATTTAGAACCTCCATAGAGCATTTTTATTCATGGGCAAATGAACCATGAGCATGGCACTAGTTACTTTAAATTCATAGAACATGATGATAATTAGAACTGGCAGCAGCTCATAAATCCTCCATGGGCACTCCACGGTGGCAGTATGAGTCACCGCCATCCCTGTGCCCACGATGGGGGGCCTTGCAGCTGGACAAATGGACAGCAGCAGAGCAGAGCACAGTCAGGGGGGCACTGGGAAAGGGAAGGGTTCTGGGGCCGGCTGGCACCACTGCCCTCTCCACCTCCTTATCTCAGTTGATGCATCAACACTGGCACTCTGACCTCCAGCACCAGAGTCCTGGAGAGCTGGAGCAAGAGAAGCTGAAGCACCCAGTGTGGGGCTGCAGACTTACACTCCGAGGCCTGGGGCACAGCCCCGGAGTGAAACCTCAGCCCCCTATCCCCAACTACTATCGCACTCTGTCCTATAAAGTCAAAAAAAAAAAAAACAAAACTCTCCTATGGAACACTAAAAGCTGAAGCACCGAGCTTGGGGCTACAGCCCTACACTCCGAGGTCTGGGGCACAGCCCCAGGGTGAAAGCTCAGCCCCCAAGTAACAGCTACTATCACAATCTGTCCTATCCTCTCCAGTCCAAAAGCCACACTGTAGTAGCTAGGGGGAAACTCTCCTAGCAGAGACGTCATCCTCCCTCATAATCAGTGTCAGAAAACGGCCTCTGACATAAGAGACGATGACGCATTCACACTTCGAACTCACTGTGATCAGCCCAGTTATCCCACTTGACTTCTAAGAAATATCCCTTCTTGACTCGGATTTAATAGCAGTGGTCTGTGTGTGTGTGTGTGTGTGTGTGTGTGTGTGTGTGTGTGTGTGTGTGTGTGTGTGCTAATTCCTGAAGACATTCTGCTCAGCACTGCCCTATTTAGCATCCTATTTGTAGGCCTCATGTTGCTTTTGTGTATCTCAAATGTAGGACCTGAGAGTCACTGCTCTGAAATATCTTTTTTATTTTTCAGGGTCAGGTCTCATTTCATTGCTCCATGTGCTTCCATATAATGACTGCTTTGAATTTCCCTCCAAGAAAACTATGTAGGAACTTGGCAAAGTATGTTGAAAAAGAAAACAAAAACAAACAAACAAAACAGGCCATCTAGAGTTTTTAACCAACAGAAATTTGGTTTGTTTTTCCCTAAATTGAAAGTTAGAGCTGATGTGTCAGTTCATTTCTCCAGTTGTTACCTTCAGGGTGATTGAACAGAAGAATCAACTGATAAGTATTAATTGCCCTCAAGGAGTTCTGGGAGCTACCTGTGTTTGCTGTACCCACTGAACCACACCAAGTTGCAAAACTAGGTACAACCTGTACTTGCCCAAATTCAGTTTATCACTTTGGGCCATGTGGTTTTAGAGCAGAGCTGACTGGTGTGGGTTTTGGCCCCAACTAAGCTTTTTACATGCAGAATAAGCCTGAAACTCCAGTGAATATGTGCTGTAGGCCAGCAGTGACACCGTCACCGTTCAGATACACAAAGCAGAAAATATCAACATGGCATATTGGCAAGGTAGTGAAGAACAGACTGAGATCCCTCTATAATTTGGATCTGGTTACATTCTTGATGACTCATTTTCATAGTTTACTTAGTATAATTTTTTTTTTTTCTTGGAACAGGTTTTTCAGAAGCTGCCTGGGAACCTGCTCTTATAAACCAGGCAGGTCTTGGAATCACAGAGATCCGATACTCAGCCTCAAAGGCTGGGATTAAAAGCCTGCGACACTCCTGGCTGGTTCTTAATAGATTTTCAACAGCTGTTATAATCCTTTAGTTTGGAGATGGAGACATGATGATATATACCACAAAAAGTTATTCTTTATTAGTAGTTTTTGGTATTACCCCGAGGGAGTATTCATATACATTAAAATACAAGCTCTGTTGACTTCCATATTTTCTGCTTTGAATTCCCATCTCCAATCTGTTAATCCATCCCAAGAATTGCACTACTAACTTCTTTATTGTTT